TTGAAAAGTGAAACGAGCGACGGGTTACTGGCGCCAGAAGCAGAGGCATTATTGACTCGTGTATAATCAGAGGGAAGCGCCGGACTTAGAAGATGGCTAAGGTTATCACAAACACGGACCTCTTTGAGAGAGATAAATACATGAGCAGAAGAGCAGAGCAGTGGGACGAAAGGATTCCTCATCAAGGATCTTGAGGCCACTGAAGATTATTAAAATGAATTGAACCTATGCTGTTCCAAGCCCGGAACACCAGCCCTTGTCACACCGGGTAATCCGCGGACGTCATCAAGCTTCGACACCGCCACCACCACCATCATGTCGCCAAGTCACGAAAAAGGAGGCCTTGCTATTAAACCCGTCAGGAATATCATCAGCAACCCACAATTGAGACGAAGACCGCTTCTGGTCGTCGTTCTGTCTCTTTCCTTCTTGGTTTTGTCACACTCGCGCACTGGCTACGAGATCCAGCAACAGCTTCACAGCAGTTCCTTTCACCAAATCAGCAGCAATTCGCTGTTCTTCTGCAAGACAGCAAAAAATGGTTTCCGCCCTTGAGGTTCAAAAAAGACGGCACCTTTCAACTGAGCACCCTCTCTGATCTCCAATTTGGCGAGAGAGTTAATGCCCCCCCCCCCCCCTTCCTTTCCCCCCTATTCCTTACCTTATTAACACTTTGTAATAGATGCCTGGGAGCCATGTGGACCAAAACAAGACCTCGACTCCGTCGGGGTTGTGGCCACCGTCCTTGACACCGAACCATCAACAGATTTTGTGGTGTTGAACGGTGATATTGTCACGGAGAAGAATCTGTATTTGCTTAATGGGACGGCATACGTCGATATGATAGCGCAAGTACTAACTGCTAAGGGTGTCGAATGGGGTAGTACATGCGGTAACTATGACTCGGGCTACCACCTCACACCTACTGCCATCTTTGAGAGGGAGAAAAAATATAAAGGGAGTCGAACGGGGAGGTGGTTAAGGGGAGGAGGGGGAGGCGGGGGTGATGAATTATTATTTGCCGGTTTCGAGCTGGGATGGGGAGAGAGTGGAGATGATGTTGTGGTTTTTTGACAGTAGAGGTGGGTTCAGATTTCAAAAATCGGGGGAAGAAGAAGATACAAAGGGGAGGAGGAATTAGGTAAGTGGGAAAGTGGTGAGGTGATTTAAGGTGATAAATGAGAGGTTGAAGAGGGAAAATGGGGGCAGAGAGGTGCTGGGGCTGGGGTTTGTGCATATCCCTACGGCGGCTTTTTTGGAGGTGCAGGAAACGGGGTGGGTGGGTGGGAAGAGAAAACCGGGCATTGATGAGAATAGGCCGGTTACTAGGCAGGATGAGGGGTGGTGCCCTGATGGAAGGAATGAGGAGGGGTGTGGGGATGGGGGCCAGGATGGGGAGTTTATGGAGGCGGTGTTGGAAGAGGGGTTGCTGGGATTGTTTGTTGGGCATGATCATGGTGATACATGGTGTTCGGATTATGAGAAGGAAAAGAGGAGGATGTTCTGTGTTTTGGGCAGCATACGGGGTATGGGGGTATGGGAGTTGGATTAGGCAGGTGGGGGTTTCTATTGAGGAGTTGAGGCAGGGAGAAATGGATATATGGGTTAGGCTGGAGAGTGGGAAGGTAGTGCGGAGGGTGAGGTTGAATGGGAGTTATGGGAGGGATGAGTATGAGGTTGTGAAGGATGAGGGGACGCATTTACCAGTGGATGATCGAGATTAAGGAGTGAACGTCTTGGTTAAGGGGTAAACTGGCTACATTCGCTATCCATGTCCCCTGAATGAGTGACTGAGGTAAGCACATTCCAAACATCCTATCCTCCGATACCATCGCCCTGTCCAATTCATAATTCCCAGTCCTGATTACCAACTACTGGGAAGGCTTGTTGTCGACCAGAGTGATCTCGAACGCACTCGGTCCCTTGCGTTCATACTTCAGCTGAGGAGGGAAAGCCTCCGACTCGACAATATCTACCTCGTTGGTCTCTTCGTTCCACTGGAAGTAGACGGACCCGACGGAGAGGTAGATACCAGTCTTCTCATCGCGCAAGAACACGCCAGTCGTCACAGGAGGGCCGCCAGCGGGCAAGATTCCAACCAGGTGCCACTCAAGAGGATCCTCGTTGGACTTGATCAGGACGGTGCCGACGTCACGGGCATCGATCTTGAGAGAGTACTGGAGAGGGGAACCTCCAGTGTTATCTTTGAACTGGAAGGAAATAGCGCGGGTGTTGTGCTCGACGACTTTGAAGCGGGAGAGGCCACCAATGTCGGAGATGTCGGAGTGGGCGCCCTCCCTTTCTGAGGTGTCAGTAGATGATTCAACAGAAACATCCTTATGTGGGAGGACTTACCACTCGCGGTATTTGCCAGACTCGTCGTAGTGCTGCCAGGCAATGACTTTGGTATTGTTACCTACGTTGACGGAGAGGAACTTGTCGTTGAGGGAGCCGGGAACGCTGACGTCGGCTCCGATGCTGTATGGGAATTCGTCGCCTTGGAACTCCTTATTGTCGTAGAACTTGGCGGTGCCGGGATCAACGGGGGGAGCCATTTTGATGAGTTGTGTGATCTGGTGATTGTGGGTTGCTGGTATTTGTGGTTGTTGAAGCTAGGCTGTTGATTTCTGTTGGGATGGGGATGTTGTGAGAGGTTGTGGTGGAGGTCGGCTCCCTTTATACACATTTTGACCGTAATACGTATCCCAGAGACACCCGACTGCTCTCAAAAATCCCCCGCTGTTTCTGTCGATGATCTGCTGAGAGCATCGTGACTTAAAGTTGTGGTATCATCAATGATGCCAATCTCGTCTGATCACACGCAAGCTGAGCTGGAGATACAAAACGCCAAAAGCAGGAAATAGCAAGACATCAGCGTTGTCAAGACTCTATCATGCACCTCTTCTCGAAGCGGATTGGAGGTGAGCGTCGGCTCAGAGGCTAATGGGCGGTTGTTTTGTTGGAATCGGGACCGAGTGGCCATCTTGACTGGCACCTGTGCCACTGTTAGATGGCGCGATGTTCCATAACTGTGGTGTTCAGAAGCTTTTTGCTGAGGACAATTTACGTAAAATGCTCGATCGGGTCATTCTGAGACAACGACCCTTTGTGCCACTGTGCTTGGATCTACAACGTTCAGTCTGCAGCTTCGGGCCGGTCCGTGGGATCTTAGACAATGAGTGGTTGATGATCTGAGCCCGGGATGTAATCTACAGACCCGCAAGGCCACACAGCGTCACGACCACACGATTTCCGAGCGGTTCTGAAGAGGACTGTGGTGATACATTGTAAGACACCAGCCATCATGAAACTCCTTGCAGGGCGTATGCGCTAATTTTGGTGCTGGTGATGATATTGAGTTTCCAGAACAGGCGCCGAGGGTGAGGGGGTCAGCTGTCAAGCCCACTCACTCTCTTGGGCGAGCAGTTGATCTCTGTTTACATCCAGTCAGGGGTTGTTTTCAGGGGCACTGCTGTGTGGGGTGCTCCGGAGCCCCGCCATCGCTCAGTGAGGGGAGAAGCTGAGCTGCTTGTCGTTGTAAAGCTATGGAATACGCGACATGCGACAAAGATATTGTATCTGTCCTCGAGCTCATTGCTTTGTTGTGGACTCAGCAAGCTTGTTTCTTTGTTCAACTCAAAACTAAGCTGTCGCCTCGAAAACAACTGCAATAATCCAGGCACTTTATAGAACACTGATCTGAGGACAGAGCTCAACTACAATGTACAAGAAAATGATGCAGCGAGTAGTCTCGATCGAATCGAAGCCTATTTAACACCGAAGACATGCTCCTGAACTCCTGGGCATCTTCTCACCACCCATCCCACAACCAAACCAACAACTAAGTTGAACCAACGCAATCAAAACAGCTCAGCAAAAGAAGCCAAGCAACAACTCCAAAGGTACACAAATAACACATCGCAATCTAACAAATCCCAAAATGTGCATCCTTACCGTCACTAACTTCCACTGCAACTGCCCCCTCCGCGACAGCACCCGTTGCCCGCACAGCAACTACATCCGCTCCGCCGCCCAAACCCCCACCCTCCCCACCACCCCGGAGCCGACGGGCTACTACCTCCGCCGGGTTCGCGATTTCCAGCGCTGCGTCCGGTGGGAGCCTATGCATGGCAACCAGGTTTGGGACCACTGCGCCACATTCACCCGCGACGATCGCCTCACTGATCCTCTCAGATGCCCTGCCACCGTCGCTACCGGCGGTGCTGGGGAGTACATCAGGACCCGACACCGGAGAGACCGATGCGAGCACTGCACCTATGGACACCCTCCCGTGCCTGCGGGAAGGAGGAACGCCATCACCTCTGAGGCGCCCCTTCTTTTTACCTTGCATGCGAGCGAGGGGAGTGGTGAGGAGAGGCCGAAGTTCACGATGAGGGCTGGGGAGCATTACCCTTACTTGCTGCCTGATCTTTGGGCTGACTTGATGGGGGAGTAAGTAGAGTGAATTGGTTGTTAGGCATCTTCACTTATGCCAAAATAAAATACTGACAGGTGAGTACACTTTTCATTATACGAATAAAAATAACTTAACTATAATTTTAATTTTGTTTACAAAACAATGTTCTCAAATCGCTTCTTAACTGTGCACGGGAAAAAGAAAAAGAAAAAGAAAAAGAAAACGAAAAAAGAAAAAAAAAAGCCGTGAATGAATTAATGTTATAATGTGGAGGTAGATAGGTATATATGAAGAGAATATACTCAGGTAGAAAAAAACGTTGAAAAGACTGGACGTGCTTTGGGTAGGTACTCGATGAGATAATATTGTATTTGTTCTTTGAACAAAATACATAGCATCGGGACTGTCACGGTAGGTAGGACCACTGCACTAAACCAACTGTGATTGCTATCAAAAGCTACAGGCGAGTCAAGCTTGCCGGCTTGACTCAGATCAGTGGTGTATATATGTTGATGCTGCTGGGGCGCTGCGCGCCAGTGCCATCACAAGGGCAAAAAGATTGTCCAAAAGAAAGGAATTTGACTGCGCGATCCGAGATTCGAACTCGGGTCCCTCGCTTGTTTTGCCCAGGAAAGAGGATGGGAAGCGAGTATTCTAACCACTGAACTAATCGCGCTGGCTGGCTGACTTGTTGATATAATTGTTGGAAGGAACTAGAGCTTAAGATCAGCTGGGGGGGTGGGCGAGGCGGGTGTAAGGTCCAGTTGAAAGAGGGGAAGGGAAGAAGTTAGGAAGGTATGTTGGGACTCGATGTTCAAGGGGGAAGGCGTGGTGCAGGCGGGCCACATGTTGAGGACAATGCCAACGGAGAAGAAGGCAAGATGGTTGGAAGCTGTCAGCCAGTAACATGCAGCACACTCACTCGCGAAACAGGTTTTGATCAACAGGCAATTGTGATTTATTCCATCTCATAAGCATGAAACCCCGTCCTTCTCCATTTCCCCTGCCACAGAACGCCGCCACCTTTCTCCAAGGCATCAATTGACATCTTGAACGGCTTCATAAGTGCCGGCAGCTCCATACCTTTAGAAACTCTTTTTTGAGCCTTAAATATCTTCCCAAAAGCCAGAGAGATCAACATTGCTCTCTGCAAAGAAAAATCCTTCCACTTGCCCTCTTGATTTAGACGCAACACCAGTCGTCCCTTCTCCAAGAAGTCTTGAAGTTGTCTAATCGGGCCAGTATATTCTCTATCCCCCTTTTCAATTCTGAAAATTTTGCCTGCAAAGAGATAGGAAGAAAAGCAGTCGAGTATCCTTGTAACTTGTTCCACTTTGGTGATGTTGAAAGCACCGGAAAATATGACTTATATGTTTCACTGAGATCTTTGCCAAGTAACGCGCACTTGCCATGCTGGGCTTCGACAAAGCAAAGTCCTCGTCATGGTGATTGCGAAACTCTTTGAACGAGAGGCCACTGGATCTGATGGCATCCAGGGGATCTCCAAGCATTCTTTTCAGCAAGAAATACTGGCCGGCCAGTTTGTCGTATTTGATGGCGGTATCGAGCATAGATGAACACCAAAACCTCCATTCAGAGGGTAGTGGCTTTAGCATACTGAGGAAGAAGTCAGAGACATCGTGGCCGAGTTTGCAATCCTGGCAAACACTTTGTCCTGGCTCCTCCCCACTGGTAGCATGCGGGCGCTGGTTACGGCGTAAACGAACCCCATCTTGCTTTCGGCGCCTGTGTTCTTCTTTGTTGGGGTCATCTTGAGACCAAGCAGCTGACTAAATCCTGAATGAAGCTGACAATGGAGAGTAGAGTATTATTATTTGGGAATTTTGCCGAGTCCCTATAAGTGCCTTGTCGCGAAGTTCTCTATGGGGTAGGAACTATTATTATTATTATTCCTACACCATTTTACCCTTTTTTGAAGAGTATGCCAGACCTTCGGTTGCTATTTACATAGGAAAACCGTGCTGCGTAGGCCGGGTGAAAAACCTATATCGGAAAGTATAAGGAAGAATAAAGCATTGAAAACTTCCAGAGAGTTGCGAATAAGAGAAGGCCTTGTGTAAGGCCTTGAAGACTCATCGTCTTCGACTTTGGTTTCAGCCGCCCATTCTTCCTGTTCCTCCTCTTCCTCTTCCTCCTCGTCTACTTCTTCTTCAGACGTCTACTCCTTCTTCAGACTTTTCCAATTCTAGTTTTCTCGCTAATGGGGCAAGAAATAATGACACGCCATCTTACATATCTGGATCTTTTTTGAGTTTGGTCAAGAGTTAGATGATGACTTCATGGCTGAAACTCTCAATTTCATGGCTTCATCGTGCCTTTTGCCAAGTGAACACTGTGACTTCTGCCTGAGAGTTTGGGTTTGAGCATCGTTGCCAATTTTGAGATGTTGTGTAGGTATCTGATGTGGCGATGGGATAGTGATTTGCTTATAGAATGTTGTGATCACATATTACCTGATGGCATCTCTTTTGTGTCTATACTCGCTTATGATATTCGGGTAAGATTTACACTAAGGCCTCAATATCTGGCCTCGTTACTTTTCTGACACGTGGGACAAATGCCGGGACTGTGATTGAATGTTTGGTACCTACCTAGGGTCCGTCCAAGAAGGAATGAATGCTGGCATTAGCCCCTTATTAACCGCTCTCAAAAGAGCGCGCTTGTTTGGTGTCGTGCGGCCAGCGACCAACGTCGGTTCACGGCGCAGACGCTCCATCGCGCGCTTCATTGGGGTGGGGATGCAACATTACCACCACAAATGTGCATTTCGGTTCACAAACAGGGAAAGACTCAGGACCAAGGGTAAAGGGAAGTGATGAACTTTGAGCAATTGAGCTTGCTGCTGAATATGAAGAAATTCCATCGTTTTTGGAACCCCACTTGAAGCTGCGGGTTGAGCAACAGCGGATGGTGGGGGTCCTTTGCTGAGTGCAACCCTGAAGCTGGAGACCGCTGCCAAGCGGTGTTGGGTCTTTTCTGGGCCGACAGACCATAAGACGAGCCAATAATGCTGAAAGAATCCACAGATGAAAATATTCCGATTGACTGCTGACCATGGTGATGTGTTGTCATGTGTTGAAAATGAGAGTTGAAAAGATGACCAGGAGGGAAGGAAATTGCCTGTGCGGTCCCATGGAATAAGTGGGGCATGCCAATTCACACTTTGTGGGGTTTGTTTCCTTGTGCCACTGATGAACCCCTCCATTGTGCCCGAAACATCGCTGCCTGTCACCATCATCAGCCGCGGAGACGAAAACCAACATTGCCAGCTTCCTCTTTCAACCTGGCGCCAACCTTTTGCCCATCAGGATACGAACAGATACAGACATAACAATGGACAATGGCATCTGCACCACCGTCAACCTGCATCCGAGTCGGCCCGCTCTTCAATCTCCCACAGGTGCTTCAGCCCTACATGACGCTCGTTGGTTAGATGTCGTCGGACAGTTGGATCAACAGATCCTTTCCATTAGGTCCGATAGTTCAGCTGGATACACTGCCACAGAGACGCTCCTGCGTTGTACATACATACAAAACCAAGATATTGATGTCAACAGGGTACAAACACAACGTCAAGAATCCCAACACCCCACCATCTCGAGGCTGCCGCCAGCCGCGGGCGTTAAAACTACCCCTGTCCAGCTAACCCCCTTTCAAGCCTTCTTGGCAGGTCGACTTGCGCTAATTCATCAATCTTCACCCTCCTCTCCTGCTTGATACTACTTGCGACTCTGTGCCGAAAACGCGATTGTCTCGCACCAGTCAGATTGGCTCATGCGGGTTTGGCCTTCTCAGTCCAATTCTCCGGAGGAAGTTCTGGTGTTTCTTTTCCCCCCTGTCAAGGTCCGTCACGAAATGCCACTGTTTGGGAGCGCTCCGGGGGCGGCCCAGCGAAGTTGCACACCAAGGCCGCCGTGATCCCCCTCTCTAGGCCCGACTTGCCAGACATTCGTCCCATGTCTCCCTGCTGCTCTTTTTGCTTCAACAGAGAACTCCCCGTTTATCTCAACGGAAGTGTGCCGCAGAAAAGAGTCCCCGAATCAACCCATGCTAACATGCACGCTCATGGGTGTGCCGGCCCCGGCTTCCAGCCCGGATCTGGCGATCGTCTAAGGGGGGGGGGGGCATGCAACCTAGAGGCTGAGCTCAGCATGCCCCCATCGTGATTGGGCTGGTCGTCCTGATGACGGGGGCTCGCAAGGCTCCCTGGCACGCTCACTGTGGTGCTCAGTTTCGTCCCCTGCGGCATCCATCGTCGCTGTGCCAAGGTTGCAAGAGCGGCGCGGTTGTGTCGTGCACTCTAGACCATAGCCCACACATACGCAAGCTTTCAGCAACAGCAAAAGACATTTCACACATGCGACTCTGCGGCCAACACTGCTGATACATCTCGGCCACACTCACACCTTTCTCTCGCCCTGCGTGCTTGCTTGCTTGCTTACTTACTTCCTTTGCTTGCTTGTTGCTTGCTGACCCTTTCTGCCCCCCCGCCTTTTTGCTGTCCCCTCCGACTCCAGGCTGCCATTCCAATACCCGAACGAGGTGTTGCTGATGTGCAACCAAACTACCTCAAGAGCGTCGAGCCAACCTCCTGCTGTGCCCCATGCGGCCCAGCGCCTGACGGCCCTTCAGCTCTTCTCCTTTGTTTGAGATAGCCATTTGCCGCTTCTTCCTGTCCGCCGTTTATACCGACCTAGGCGCTGCTTGTCAGCATGGCCTCCCCTCAGAGGTTCGCCGTTCCGCGCATCGACGCCTCGACTTCATGGTTAATGCTCGAAGACGAATCACCCGAGGCGCGTCTGCTCAGCGTGGTCGCTCAAGTTTTGGGAATTGAGACAGCAAACCTGCGCACCCAGGCATCCTTCAGAGAGTTGGGAGGTGACGAAGAGAGCGCTTCTGCGTTAAGGCAGGCGTGCCTGGATGCCGGGATGGATATCACGGTCGACGACATTCTTCGATGTCCGACCCTCGCCGAATTACAGACGTGCATAACGCCGTGCACCACGCCAGCACGAAATATCGACAATGAAGCCGCCGAAACGCCGTTTTTTACTTCACCCGACGTCGAAACCGAAAATATGGGCCAGGAAGATGCTGGGGCTCATTCCCGCAAGCCGAGCCAGGCGAGCTCGGTCACAATAGGGAAGCAAAGAACAGAAATCGAACAAGCGCTTGGGATGCAGCCAGAGATTGGGAGGATGGCCACCGTACGGCCAAAAGCTGGGTTGCTGGAGGGCAAATTGGTGGCTCTTCTCACCCTTGCTTCCATGCAGAAAGAAAAGACAGATTCCTCCCCGATTGACCTCATTCCACAGTCACACGCCCTTTTCGCCGGAACCCAGGTTGCAAACTTGCGACAAGCCGCCGAGTCTACTCTGGAGCCCGATGCCGTACCCGATTTATGGATTGTCCTGGACGGAATGCCGATGACAGACTCTGGCGACGTCGATGTGAGACGATTGCGGACATGGGCTCAGAACATCAACGAGGATGTGCACCACCAGGCTCTCAGCTTGGAACTCCAAGAAACACTGCAAGCCCCAGAATCAGGCATGGAAAAGACGCTGCAGAGGCTAGTGAGCAAGATACTGGATGTTCCACAAAGCCAGATTGGTGTCAACTTCTCCTTCTCTCAGTTAGGCGGGGACGAGATGA